GGAGATTAGCTGTTCCTAAGAATAAGACCGACGTGCGCTGTGACGACAGCTGGATCGCAGCACTAACAACTGCAGCCCCCGTCAGCGCTGAGCACTGGCTGCAGGCAGAAAAATGGCTTTTCCTATGGATAAACCTGGGCTGATCCCAGGCCCCTGCTGCAGACAGATCCCTGAGCCCAGCACGTGTGAATCAATCTGGCCTTTGGCATTAGAGATAAAGCTACAAATACAACATTGCTAAGAGGCTTTCCCTGTAGTTAAAATCTGCTTCTCTGAGGTGCTGTTCCCAGTGTGACCAGTAACTGTCTGTGCCTTTAAAGTCCTTTCCAACCATTTACAATCTGGCATATGACCACTTTTGGGAGACTTTATAAATGCCTTATGCAATTTTGGAAGCAAATCCAAATGCAAATACCAGCAGCCCAGACACACCTACTATTTTCTTCAGGTGGTTTGAAGAGTCATAGAAAGCAACAAAGCAAGTGAAAAGTGCTGAGTAAAGGGGTATTCTACAAGGAAACCCCCTGACTATCCAGACCATTCCAACTCCAAAAGAATATATACTCAAGATTTCAGTCAAGATTAAAATGCAGCCTTCTACTGCTGGTACAGCTGAGATGGGGGTGTGAACTGGTTGGTTGATTGCTGCTGTGATAGGACCCCCATGAGTTGGGCTCCACTGTGCAGGTGCTACACCAGGCTCTGATAATGTGCTGGGGAATCTCTCACAGATAACTCTTGTCACCACTTTTCCATTTCCATTTTCACATTTCCATTGCTGCCAGTTATGGGGACTCTTGTCTTGTTGGGCTTTCTAATCCGGACCACTACCAAATTCCTGCTCTTCACTCTCCTCCAGCTGCAGTAACAGGAGGATAATTTCCCCCACTGCAGAGGACAGAAATAAATCCATCTTTGCACAAGCTTCTGTCCCCTACCTTGAAGTGGCTGTGCTGTGCTCCAGGCTGCTCTGACAAATTCACTACATTGCTACAAACAGCAGAGAAAAATGTTGTCAGCCAAATAGAAAGGTGATCTCTTTTTAGTTATCATTTTCCAGAAAGTTCTGGAGTCCATTTCTTTTAAACACAAAGCAAAGGAAGAATAAAGTTAAAATAACTCTCTAGCAGGCTGCTTGGTGCAAAGCTAGTTCAAGAAAGCTCTTTTGCTGTTACTCATTGAATCTCAAAGTTATCCTCTTTTATCTAGTGCTATCAAAACCTGTAAGCTATGAATATTATGTAAGTTATAGATGATGTTACACACTAGTAAGGTTTTACACTAGGTCACCATCAACAGCCCTACACAGACCATGCAGTCATGCACAGCTTTATTTTTACAAGAGATGGACCTGGCCCCTCTCTGTACCAGGATAACTTGCTTTGAAGAGGGCTCCTCAGCCCACACAGACCATCAAACCATGCCCTAAAACCTTTCTGTTTCTGCTGTGAAGAAGCAGAGAGAGGTTCACAATGCCCACAAAGTACCCTTCGCAGACACAGAATTCAGCTTTTTAGATTAGGTGAAGAAACAATTACATTAAAACAACTGGTTTAATACTAATGTTCCTCATCACATCCTCATTCTTCTTTGCTTTAAATCATAATGATTAAAAAAAAAAAAAAAGAAAACATAAACCCCAACAGTGGGCATAAACACTATGGGCCTCCTATATAGCTCCCTCTCTCCCGCAGCCCTGTGCTCTCCTGCCCCATGCTCACCAGCTAAGAAATGTCTTGTGGTGTAAAATAAAGACATGTGGTATAAAAATAACTCCACTGATGGCAATTAATATCTTTTTCAACAGATGCCTGTGCAAGGAATATCCCAGTTTGAAAGCTCACCTGTTTTTTCCTCTGAATGGATGGTGTTTACCTGTCTTAACTACAAAAGTCCAGCAAGGAGCAGGGTCAGCACACTCCCTTTTCCTTCCTCAGCAGGTGAGCAGTAAGACATGTAAAGAAGGATTAATCTGGACAAGAAGCTTTGCAGTGCAGCGTGCTCTATTCCTCTTGGTCAGACTGGAGGCAAATCCTGTTTTCCCTCCCACCAGCTTTCAGGTTTTAATAACTTTCTTCAGTGTAGCCAGAAAATTGTTTGATGGAGAGATTCTTTCAGCAAAGTACAGCCAGCCCTGGCAGCAAATACTCAGCAATTCAACATTACGTAAGACAAAAAGAACACATTATCCCCCTATCAGTTGTCATCCTCCTGAGGCTTAGTGAATAGCATTTCTATTATATATGTTGAGATATGTATATATATAGACACAAAAGATATCTATACATATATATATATACACACTCATGAATAACATTAGTGAATAAGCCAAAATGTGTTAAATACTGCCCTACCATACAGGCAACCTATAATTGCAAGAAACATGGTTTGGAATACAAATTGGAGCAGAATTCATTAAGCCACTTGCTTTGCAATCTCCAAGATGCCACAGGGGCTTCCCACCTTCAGTCAAAGTGTGGGGTGGGAAGGAGAAAGAAGAGCACAGGATTAAATTTGTATCTCCTAAACTGAGCCAAGGACAGAATTACCCATGACGGAACTCGGCTAAGACAGACGATCCTCTCTGCTGCTCTCTTCTGTAATCATCCTTCCTTTCTCTTGTCTCTCAAAAGTAGTATTAAAAATACAGTGAGAAGATCTGGTTTTCACCTGAAGATGAAAATATTTTCTGTTAAGTTCTCTAGCAATGAATTTACACAATTTTTGGATGGAACACACAGTTACTGACTGCAGAGCACTGGCAGCCAAGGCTGTCACTGCAGGTGCTTGTGCCTGGAGCTGCTGCTGCCACACCACGTCACACTCTGCCTCCGTGCTCCACCTCCAGCTTCATCTGCCAGAACCATGTCCACTGGGAGCCACCTGTGTCTAAAGGAACACTTGTAGGTTTTGTGCTGTTTGATGGGAACCATGCCATTAGTTCTCCAACTATTTTTCTCTAGTGAAATGACAAATCTACAGAGCAAGATTAGCTGGATTATGTCTTTACACCACCCCTTAAATAAGCTGTTATTTGCTTATGAGAGAGACAGCAGGAAATGACAATTTATGTAAATGTATTTTAAAATAGAATAAAATTATTTTATTTAGTTTTCATTTCTGGACAGTATTTATCCACCAAGGATGAATTACAACTCCAGTACCAAGATTAAAAATAGTTTGCTTTGATAAGTTATGGATTTTTTTAATGCCAAAAATACCCACCAATGCTGAAATAGTTTTAGGCAGTCTAACAGAAACGTCATCGTCTGTCAAACTACATCTGAGAAAACTTAGGTAGAGGTACCAGCTGCAACATGAACAGTTGCCTGCCAATTGAATACATGACTTAACAATTCCCCAACCATCTGCATTTTGGCTCAGTCATGCAAGGTTGCTTTTCAGTTATTTCAGTTTAATGTCTAAATCAATACTGGAGAATGCAGAAGCAAAAAAAGTTTTAAATGCCACAGGTCAACCATTAAAAGAAGACCAGAGATGATCCCAGCTTCAGTAACTTTTTTTATGAAACTGTTTCATTATAATTGATCAGCAGAGTCAAGTAGAGAGATTAGGGCAGAATATCTGTTCCAGGCTTAAAGGTAATGCAGACACAGCCAAGACCAGCACACTTTTACACAAGGCTTCTGTATTCAGCTTTTTTGCCAAAAGGAAACACTTTATCCTTTTGAATCCACACTGGCAGGTAGACAGGTATTTTTTGGCTAGTAAATGCTAGCAAGCACTTCCTTTCTTCTTATAGGTAGAGCAACCAGAAAAATACTTCTGCAGGAATTGCTCCTTCATACCACAGAGCAGAAAGGTTCGAGGCACTGAACTCCAGCTCCTGGCAGCCACACAGACTTCAGCCAGGCTGGCACGAGAACCACTCTGCTTCCCCACAATGATTCTGACAGCAGGAATTTCGAGGTGAGGTAACTTATCAAGAGCCATACTACCAATTCCAAATTTCTGATTAAAAACACCCAAAAGACAGCAGACTACCTTTCCGCAGGGGACCTCATTTCAGCAAAAAACAGTATTTTCATTGAAATTTTCAGAATTGTGATTAATTCTTTTTCAGTGGTGAGGTTTCCAGTCTTTCACTTTCATCCTTTAACAAAGTATAATACAGCTCATTGCACCTTTTTATTCTTACTTGTCTATGTAAATCCTACTTGGACTGAAAGTCAACCAGCATTGAATGAAGGGCATTCTTCTTGCATAGATACTCTCAATACTCTTAAAAGAGGGCACTTATTCTTGTTCAAAAGACATTATCTCCAGAATTATTTTACAATTTAATTCTTAAAATTGACTCAATTCAGACTCTAGAAACAGGTGCCATTTTGCAATTCAGTAATGTATTTCCTGCAGCATTCAAGCCTTCTCCTCCTTCTAGACATTCTTGGTGTTAAAACTGCCATGAAATTTTTCAATACTTCAAATAGAAAATTGTTCTTCCAAACAATCCTACTGCCAACTTAACAACTGACAGAGCACAATTTAATTTGGATTTTAGGGTCTAGGAATACTGACCAAAACTATGCAAAAAGACCATACACATGTTAGAACATACACATTTTAGGCTTTATGGTGTGGGAATATCAGTGGAAAAATAAACAAAGCACATTTTTGAGCAGGCATAGCACTTCTTAAGCAGTGCCCCTTCTGTCTACATAAGAACATGGTGTGAATTCACACACTCTCACAAAGAATAGGATCACAAAACTTCACGTATTTCTATAGTAAGCCCATTTTCTTGAGGCAGCTTGAGGGACTCAGCTTGAAAAAGCAAGATGATATCTTCCTCCTATCTAGCCAGTATCTGCATTCCAAATTTTCAAGATTCAAAATACTGGATTCAAGAAGACAGATTGTACACTCACTTGTAATACCTCTTCCAGCAGTTCAGAGACTTCACCACCAGGTATTTGGGGCAACATCAGATCCTGTGCCACAAACATACTTGCAAGTAAAAGAAAACCATGCCAAAAATGTTATTCTTTATGAATCATTTTAATGAACCGAATATGAAGAGACAAACACAGGTCAAGGAAAATAACACAAAACCAGCCCCACCAGCTGCTGACAGAAGATAAAGATACAAGAATAGTTGAGGACAATTTGAGGGCAAAGAAGAAAGCATAGTGACAGATAATCATTCTTGCCAAGAATATCAACCCAATCACATAATAGTTTAAATTTCATGTCAAGTGTTTAAATAAGGTCTCTGGTTTTTTTCTTAACACAGTGAGTACACAGAACAATAGGGAATAGGCTATCCCTGAATTCGTGGCAACAGGTCCTATAGAGCATATTCCAGATTTCTCCAAATACTGGAGATAAAGGTGGCTAAAAAGAGAAGCAGAGAAAGGGAGGACCTTTTGTTTACCCAGCCAGGTCTCAGAAATGGAATGTGTTTTCTAGACCCCAGAATCTTTGGCGTAGGTTCCTCTTCAATGTCTGCGCGAGTGCTTTAATCCCATGACTGTGAAGGTTGCTGCAGTAAGTTTCTCATACACCAGAAACATAAGAGCAGCAGTAAGGACTGTCTGCAGGAGCTTGGCTTCAAGGCCTTTGTAGAGTCCCACTAATCCAAAACGCCTAAGGAGGAGAAAAAAACAACAAACAAGAAAACAAGCATGAATAGCTTTCTGTAAGTAAATCAGTACAAAGAGGAGTCAATATGACAAGTTAATAACCAACTGTAGGAATCTTACACCCATTCTTGACCTTGAGCCAGCTGTGTTTAATAATATTTTAAAGAAAAAAAATCTGCAGAAATTTAAGGTCTTTTGTGCAACAAACCTGCTTCTTTTCAATTTGAGAGGTGAAATGAATTAGTATCCTTATGTATCCTTGATGTCACTTACTGTACAGACATTTAGGAGAACTTGGGTTTATGGGCTTACTCTACAATATATTACAAAAAACAAGTTGACTCAAATGTCAAGTTTAAGGGAGGCAAAAGGAAACAAAATCCAGACCCAGCAACATTTTCAAAATATTAATAATATTCAAGTCTTCTCTATCATGGTAGGATAAATAAAATGGAAAAGCTCACCTCACTCTCTGTTGAAGAAGGTAAAGAACATTTCTAAGACTGCCCAGTGTTCTGTTCTCTGGGTTCAACCTGTGACGTCCAAACTGAAAAAAAGGAAGAGTATTTTGCTGTACTATTTCCCCACTGTGCTTGGCAGAGAACATCATACATGCATGAAATCTGGAGACCCTACCCTAAACCTCTAACTATTTTCCACATTACATAACTACCAGCAGAGGACAGAGGCCAAAGCTCACACTGCAAACATTAAAACTGTACATACTACTGTAACTTGGTTTAGTTTTAGAATGGATTCTAACAAATATTTCCTCTCTTTCAGTTAGTCTGGGAGAAGCAGTTTTCAAGATCTCAATAGCATAATTTGCAGAGTCTTAGTAAGGATATGACACTCAAAGCAAGTTCTTTTTGGCTTTCTCACTTTCACTTCACAAAGATTCAGACCCTCACACATCTGCAAATCATTACTACATTGAAACTGCACAGTTGAACACAAAATTTATCCGCCAAGCAAGAGCACTTATGTGTGAAATGCTGTGGAAGAATTTAGAATTGTTTCATCTACCTACTTGGCCTAAATAATATTTATTTTTTACTCACTACACTTGCTTATCCCCAAGCTGGTTTTCAGTAGGTATGATAGCTGCTGCTGTAGAGTCAAACTAGCAATTTCAGCAACTCCTCTTCTAGCATTGATACTTTTATCTGATACTGGTTGACAGTACTGCCAGCAAGCTGTAACTATGAATTATTAATATACAAGAGTTGGCACATTTGTATTTGTAACAGCACAGCCTAATAGCTTTGAAGAGTGTATCAAGCTTCTGTGCTAAGAAAGGTGAACTTGAGCAACTGCATGTTGGATCAATTTTTTCCCAGAACGTGTTGAGGCAACTGCTATTTCTTATATGTAAGAAATTACCATTGACAGTAGGTAAAGTATGCCACCTGATTCAGGCAGCTCAGAAATTTTAACAGAAAATGGTAGGATGATACAGGTTCCTTTACTATGTGTTTTAATAACTTGGGTGGAAACAGGAGTAACAGAATGCTAGTGGAAATCTCCTGTTGTTAGGTAAATATGCACTCAAAATCCACAATCTTCTCAACAGCAACTACCCATTTGATATTGACAAATTCATGTTAAGAACTATTATCACAGACTCAGACATGCCCCCCAAAAATTGCCAACTAGGTTCCAAATTACAGTGTCAGTCACTGCCCAGATTACTCACAAGCTTCCCCACTACACCACCATTAGGTGCCTCATTCTCCTTTTTTCTCCACCACTGGACAATTTCTGTACTACAAACAAAGGGTCACTAACAGAGAAGAAAATCATTAATTTTTCACTAGGATGTTGTGGGAATCCTTAAAATCAGAGGGTTTTGGGACAGCATATTTAAAATCAATATGCTTTTAAATGTGCTTTTGGAAAAGCATATTTAAAATCAATATGCTTTTGATTTGTGTGATTGGTCAAAAAACTTTTAAAGTAAGTTGCAACATTAAGTTCTTTGTCTGCTGCCAGGGATGTGAGCTGCTGGCATCTTCCCATTGTCATAATCATGTAATGAGACTGATACTGGAAAATAAACATCTCAAGGTGTGTTCCTCAGCAGTCCTGCCTCTGTGATTTGTACACAGATCCCCAACCCACAGTAGGTGTAAACACTTCAGTGTTCATGCAGAAGACTTCCCAAAGGGATTAGCATTCTCTATGAAAGAGAAAAAAATACTTCAGTTTTAAAGAAAACTTTTTTATCAGGGATCACTGAGAACACTAAGGGTATTGCAGTACCTCCAGAGGCAAATTTAATTTATCTTTACTGACACATAGGCTAAAGAACAGTTCACTGCATAATGAGTAACATAATGTCATGTAGTTTTAATGACTAGGAGAAGGACATACCAAATGGCAAAGCTGGAAGCTGCTACCACTGTCAATTACACAGGATAACTGTTCATTATATGCCAGTAAGAAGAAAACTGTGCCAAAGAGTTGAAAGCAAAGGTGTAGAGACTTTATTACAAAAATCCCTAATAAGTTCCAAAAAAGAGTAAGTTTCTAAAGGTTGAAGGTTAAAAAGAAAAAAAAAAAAAAAGTCCTGTACTAGTTTGATGACAGAACTTAATTATGACGTGTAAGTTTATATTAATTATATTGAGCTTATATTCGTTACTGTGCAAACCTGCCAAACTTCTTTTAAAAAACACCTACAACTTTTTTTGTTTTTCATGTAGCATATTAGTTCTGGAAAAATCACTTAGTGTGAGTGACAATAACTTCATCAACTAGAACAATGCCAACTTTAGATTAGAAAACACATCACAAAATAGAGCAAGTCTGAACTAGACAGCACAGATGTCACAGACACACATTTCTGCTGTCCTTGACAGATGAGTTCAGGGCTCCTGGCTACTCTTTTACAGAGCAGAGACAGAAGTCACCCCCAGTGACTGCAGAACTAGAGAGAGGGTCCCCTTGTGCTCCCCATCATCACAGGGAGATGGACTGGCACTATATTCTTTTTTTGTTGTTGTTTTTGTTTTTTTTCTTTTTACACTGTCATTAAGAGTCAGAAGAATTTTGTTCAAAAAGCTAAATGGAGACAGAAGAGACACAAAGCCTCAAGACTGTAATCACTTCTCTAAGAACCATGAAAAGGAAGGAGAGCTGAAACTCTTCTGTGGCTGCAGCCCCACGTAACCTGCACTGCTGTGCAATGCTAAAACAGATCTCTCCAACTTTCCTTCCAGCTCTCCTTCACACCAGGAGGAAACAGGAGCACCACAAATGAAAAACAGACTGATGTTGCAACTTATTCAAACAGAGTTATTTTTGCTTAAATGTTTTTCTGTATCTGCCACTCCAGTAAAGAAGTCTGTTATTAGTTTAGCTACTACTGAGATGTGTCCAGGCTGTTAAAACAGGATAAGGCATTGAAAGAAAGCACTAGTTCAGCTGATCAAAAATTATGAAAACTTCAGAAAAGATGCTGACAAAGTTACAAAGTAAGTATATTCAAGCCCTCTTGCTTTGAAATACAGCATCCTAATGATCTTTTTACAGGTTATAAAAAAATCAAGATATATTTATTACACTCTAATTAGAGTCACAAATTATTACAAAACTTGCTTGAAAATTGCTTTTTCCAGATGAACAATGAACATGAAAATTCCCTTATCAGAGAGGTCTGAAAAGTGATACTCTTAGCATGGATGGCTTGTTTTCAGTAATTCAACTCATTCTCCAAATTTGTCCAAGTTTTAGAACATACACAGTGGCTTTATTGTACAGGCAAGTAAAGGTTCCTCCTTACTTAGGAAAATATATTTCACTTATTAATATTTAACAGTTTAAGAGTTTAAAACACACAAATTAAAGTACAATATGCTTACACATGGCTAGGTCTCCTTCCCTCCTACTCCCCAGTTTAGTCTTGTGTCAACATTACAACAATATTGGTACACTCTGAAGGCAGCAGCATTATCCAGCCTATGTACAAATTGCAAGTCAGAATAAATGCAAGTGTTTCCATTACCACTACAATTGGCCTACGTGGCCAGGCAAGTGGTTAAATGTATTATTTATGAGGGAGCTCAGCTTCCCCTGATGAATCACTTTCTGGACACTGACAAGGTCAGACCACCTTCTGAACAAAACCTATGAATAGAATTTTTTTTTTTTTATTACCAAAAGTCATCTGGAAACAGACTGGTTTTAGAAGATTTAATTTTAACTTCCCACTTCATACATTTTCCATTTATATTCCAAGAAGTAAATGTACATTTTTGTAGTGCCCGAAAGCAGTTCAGTGCATCAGCTTCTGTGGGACACTGTACCAATACCATACACTGGCAATCCTACCAGCTACTTGAAACAAATGTGCACCAGTATACCAAGCTCAGTCAAAACCAAAGAGGAAAGCCATTCTAATCAGTGACCTGCACTGGGAAAAATGCCTCCCAAAACAATGGGTCCATGAACACAAATAAAAACAAGATATGTGAACAAGGCTTGCATGATACAGACCAAGTCAGAGGCAGAGTTGCCATGAAATGAAATGATTACTTACCCGCAGAATTGACTGTACTGTCTGCAGAGGATAAGTGAGGGTGGTGGCAACTGCTTTGGCTATTGCACCAATGACAAAAGCATCCAAGGATGTGAGCTGTTCAATAGATAAAGAACAAATTTACTTCCACATAGTACCAAACCAGCCCATTTGTATTTGGGAATTCTGTACTGGTACCTGCTACCAGATTATCTAAGGATCTTTGGCATAAAGATAACATGAAATCTCAGGGTCTTCTTATAAAGTGTTGGTCATGGTTCAATTAATTGACTTTCCCACATCTTAAGTTTATTTGTAAATTCCTCCTGGTTTTGCATTCCTCAATATAACTAGGCTACTAAAACACAGTTGATATAAAGCCACACAATTAGACCACTTCAAAGCACCAACAGTAGACAAAAGAGAAGGAAGTATCCTTTCAATATACCATCAATCAATAAGCATCTCTGTTTTTGCAACAGTGAAACAAAAAGTCATATGGTGCTTGTAAAAAAGTGACACATCACTGTATTCCTGAGACATAATTGCTACACTCCCAGGCAGAATTTTAGTCTTGATGCCATAGGCTAAAAATCTCATCCCCTTTAGTGAAGAACCCCTGCTGAAGCCCACCCTCAGCTCCACAGCTCACACTGCTCCAGGATGCACCAAATACATTGTTACAGCCTATGCTGATCACAGTGCATCTCAGTCTAACAGTGTGAATTAATCACTGAACATAAGTAGATGCCCAAATCAAAACACACTCAAAATATATTTTAAAATATATTGATTGCAATCAAAAATACACTCACACATGCACACCTTTAAAAAGGTCAACCTGATATATTTAGGACAACCAGGAAACGACCAAATAGGAAGAAAAATGTTTTTCAAAATAAAAATTACCATTCCTAGCTGAAAAAAAAACCCCAAAATTATACCCCCTCTTCACTGATCATGGACAAAGAAATGCCCTAATTTAAGGTGGAACTAAGTAACTCAAAAGAAACAACATACTTATTTATGTAATAAATACATAAATAAGTATGTTGTTAGCCAAAAAGAAAATAACAATGCAGATGGAAGCTAAGCTCATAATTCAAAAAATGTGCATAATGTAACAGAGTAGATCCATTAGGTACAAAAGGGGTGCTACAGCTGTAGTATTAACTAAAGACAGCAAAAAACCCAAGCCTCATTGATGATGCAAAATTTCATGTAAAATAATCTCACTATGTCTTGGGGAAGAACAAGATGGCTTGGTAACATACTGGCATGACCTAACATTCTAAAATCACAAATTAACAGCAAAGCATCCTAAAGATATAGTATGTTAGGACATTATCTGAAATGTAATACAAATGCTTTCCAGTTTGCTGGAACATAAAAGGAACACGAGTTCAGCTGAGATTCTATATTTGATATAGACAAGAAAAAAAAAATAAGGAAAAAGAAGAGCAGTATAAAGCAGGGACAGAAAAGTGATTGTACTTCTATTTAGAAAATCAGGAAGGTATGGCTGCAATGCTATGTTTAATTCTAGTGTCCATCCTTGGAAAATTATACTAAGATATTGAGGTCTTCAAGAATCAAAATGGTTATTATTTACTGCAAAAATGGTTAAAAGCAGACTTCAAAACAGTCAGTATGTAAATACTTATAAAAGATATATTAGAATTGAAATCTCTGTTTTAAATCACAACCTGTGAACATATGCAAGCAAATGTGGATAACAGGTTCAGTTCTATTTTTACAGGTAGAAGAATTTATTAAAGCAATCTCTTCCCTATGTACATGAAAGATTCCCATCACATTTCATGATGCTGAACCCTTTTTAGACACACTAATTCAAAAAACCAGTTGAAAATACAAGAACCAAAACCAAATCCACATTCTGAATGTGTTCAAATGATGCATAACAAAAAACCTGTCTTGTAACAGAGCATGTTCATCAGCTGGCCTCAAAACATACTCACTTGCAGCTGCTTTTTCAAAAGCTTTCGTTTAAAGCCTTCATAGAACATAAACTGTATGGCAGGATTGAAGACCAGCAGCAAGGAGGGGAAAGTGCCATTCCACAGAGCTAAGACTCCTTCATCTCGTACTATTTGATGAAAAGCATCTGAGACAAAAGGTGAGAAAAAAAAATCATTAACATTTTGAGCACAAAACTCTGAATATAAAAGATATGAGAAGTTACTCTTAAAGCCTAATACTCAAAGCGTATAAAAATCAACTGCAGTCCTTTATGTAAGCATTTTTATCTTCCATTTTAACCCAGAAGTTAAGAGTAAGGTAGTGACAACGGAGGTTCTTGTTTGCATCACCATGAACATAAACAAAACTTATCATCTGCACAAGCAGCCCCCTCTTTTTTTTTTTTTTTAACAAGTGTGGCATTCACATTAAGGTCTTCCAAACCTTCTTCAAAATAACAGTAATGCTTATTTGGTTGGCTGGTTTTAAAAGGAGGACAGCCTGAACATGTGATTAAGAGATTAAGGTGAGTGAAGTTTAATTTTCAAACTGTTTGTCCAAACTCAGACTCCCAGCTACCACTTCATGGGGCTCACTACTGCTCCCTTATCTGTATGATAACATATCTGCCCCTGCAAAAGGTATTTTAGTTACAGGAGTGCACACTGCAAACTCTTAATTGCCATCACAAATGTAAAAAACAGCCAAGTGCAGTTTCCTGTAAAACTCAATGACTGCAAAGTGACAGAGTAGCATAGAGATTACAAGGTGAAATCATTTACATGAACAAAAGTCTTTGAAGTCCTTGATACATTTAATTTCATGAACTTCTCTTTGGCTGAAGACAACAACAGGTGCTTACCTATTATGCCTCTGTAATTGGTTGGTACAATGTCTTCATTTCTGAATTTTGCTCCCTGCAGCTTCAGGCGTGTGTTCACTACCCAGAGAGGGGTGGTCAAGAGAACATTCACTACTCCTAATGCAAAACACAGCACAAAGAAAATCAGCATGAAAAAGAAGATTTCAAATGTTTTCTTATTCCCTTTTCTCCCCATGATTCACATGCTACTGAAATTTCTGGTAGGAAGAAGGAATATAACTAACACAGCATATGGGAAAAGTAAATGGTAATTTGTACCCTGATTCCTGTAGCCTTTTTTCCAAAATATACTCACATGGAATTTTATCACAGACATATAGCCACCTGAAGAATTTCCTTTTTACTTCCACCAGCTATTCAGACAGTCATTATACCTACACTGAAACTGTAAGAAACTACCAACTCCTCCCCAACCCCCAAAAGAACCCCAAACCCAGGGGTCTTTTTTACAGGTAAGGGTTTTTTATAATCAGCTTCATTCTATGCATTTGGATGAGCAATAGTCCCTGAAGAATATCACCAGCAAACACAAAGCCCACAATGGTAACTTTTCACAGTGGGTGTGCTAGAAAAGTCACTAATGTTATCATACCTTCAAAGAAGGCACTGCAGCATCCACGTAAGAGGATAGAATTAAAAAGAACATATGGTCCCACTGGACCTGCATTAATCTAGGGACTTCCTGTCACTTTCAGGTGACAACCCAAAACCAAGTCTGAAACTGACACCCAAATGCTTACATTGAAATTTCTTACCATAACTGAAATTATTTCAAAATTGGCATATGTCTTTTCCTCTGAAAAAAACTCAACTATCACCTCTTCCTCACTTGTCTTCAGCATCTTAGTGCTGATGCTTAGATACCTGGTAAGCACCACATCAGACACAAATATCCTAAGCCACAAGAGTACTTTGTGCTCTTGTGCTTTGTGTTAGAGTGCTTTATGCCAGAATTTACAACAGGAATGGTTTATGCATCTCCTTAGGAGGTGGGATGACACAGAGGAGCAATCAGAAAGAAGCAAATCTGCATACAGTGGGAGGGCTGAGCACTCAGTCTGGCCTCCAAAGGACTTAATAAAGAAAATCATTAGATAGAAAATACCAAAATGACATTCTTGACAAAACGGAGATTTTAAAGTATTACCTGCAACAACCCCAAGAACCAAGTCTTTTCCAGTGGTCGAATGCTGACCTTTGACCCAGAGGGCTTTAAGACTATTAAATGTATAAAAATAAACAAAATTGGAGCAGCAAAGGCTGGAGATGACAGGGAACCATCCTCGATATGGTGCCAACCTAATGGAGAGCAAAAAGTCATAGTAAGAATCAGCAAAGTATTTATGTGATCTGGCTGATTTTATGTGTTGGTGGAGGATCTCAGAGATACAATGCTGTATACTACAGGAAGTACTACTTAGATATGTCTTTATCAGCAATGGTAACAAACCATACTTAACTCCTGAGTAAGGAAAAAAGTATCTGGATTCTCACACAAAATTTAAAAATTGAAGATGTGGTGGAGGATCTCAGAGATACAATGCTGTATACTACAGGAAGTACTACTTCGAGATGTCTTTATCAGCAATGGTAAGAAACGACCCTTAACTCCTGAGTAAGGAAAAAAAATATCTGGATTCTCACACAAAATTTAATAATTGAAGACTAGTTACTGAAATTCATATACTGCTCCTAGGAGAATTTGGCAAAGGATGCAACCTGGGGACAGAAGATACACAGGTGGAAAGAATTTCTAACAAATGCCTTACTGTAAAATCTAGGGCAAATCAGTCAGGTAAGTAAGAAAAAGACATTACCTAGTTAAATTTAACTAGATTAATTACAGACAAAAAACTGAATATCATCTAAACCCGTCTTGATTTAGGAATGATTTAATAACATCTGCCTAACAAAGCTCCCCTCTCTGACAGGCCTGATGATCCTGTAAAACAGGGATACTTCAACAGCTGTCCTACATTCCCAACACGTTCTACAACACATCCAAAAAGATAATGATACACACCTTCACTGGAGTTGCACAGAACAGGTAGAGAGCCAATATCATGTTAAAAGCATAAAAAATCACCCCAACAGCAGTCACTATGGAGGCTCTTTAGGATTCATTAAATACTGGGAGTATGTATAATTTAAGGATCTCCAATAAGACTGTAAAAGATGCAAGGCTGGTAAACACCACATCTGACTTTTCTTAAAATGTAAATGCTACTTTTTCATCTCAATCCATTGAGTGCTTCTCCCTCCCACGTAGCTGGGAATACACCTCATTGTTACAACTGCTTCTGAAGTTACAGGCTTAGCTAAGCATACAGTTACAAATTAACTGGTTAGGCAGTTGTTCATAAGCCAAATTAAACCAATTCCTTTATTACCTGTCTCTTCTGTGCTGCTAAAGAAAGAAAGAAACATCCTCTAGGGATTATGTCCTCTAACTGAGTATTAGTTTGGGCTTGGTTGATTTATTAAGAACGATTTCTGATGATTTTCAAATTTGTAGCACAAAACACAAAACTAAAACAAAACCCATGAGTTGATTACTTAAGTTGTCAGTAATAACATCCATGATTCACTGCAATCTTGAGAAAAACTTGGTGTACACTAGTGAACACCTTTCAAATCACTTAGAAAAGGACAGAAGTGCAGGGAAGAAAGCTGTTTGATAAACTTCTGCAGGAAGTCCTTCAGCTCAACCTATTTGCTTTATCTAGACAAGAGAAGCAGTCTCACAGAAGTATGGTAATGAAACAAGACTCTACAAGCTAATGTGAACAAGATGTTTATGATCTCACATCATATTTCAGATTTGTTGTTGTTTGGACTTTTTTTGTTACTTCAGACACTTCTCTAAATTAGTACCATTGCTTTGCTGGGCCTTCCCAATACCTTTGGAAGAAGCAATGTTGCTCTCTTGCCAAAGCTACTGATTTTTCTCTTTCATAGGCAAAGTAGGATGACCACTTTTACAGTCTTTCCACCTTGGTTAACTACATCATTTTTCTTTTTCACTTTTTTCTTTTTTTTAATTGAAGTTTACTTGCCACCCTCATGTGACAGAGGTAATGTGGGAATGTGAACAGGAGAGATCAGCTGGCAGAGAACTCCTCATGCATACACCTGCCCAAGTTCAAAGGTGACACAGCATTATGGGTCAAGTTAAACTTTTGTCAGCTTTAATGTCCTGAAAATGCTAGTCTACTTAGGAGTTCCAGGGATTCTGTTAGGAAAATACTTCTAACAAGGACAGGCAAAAATCTGTTTTTCCCAGCCAGCTCAGCTCAGACTATGACAAACACTAAAGCACAGCACAGCTGAAAGTGAACTGCTTTTAGACAGATGTTGAATCCCACCAGCATAAAGTGTCATGTGTTGTTTTCTTCTACATGCTTAGGAGAAAATAAAAACCTTCCAACTGGGAAAGATGTCTCAGTTCTCTTGAAAGTGGTTCAGTTGCCCAGGAGTTTCATCTTGGTTACTGAGAAATTGACACACCCAAGAATCCAAGCAGACAAAGCTGGTTGATCAGGTATATGAAGGTACATTTGCATTTCTGAGGAGGCACAGCTACCTCACTAATGAAGGCAGTTACATCACTGAACAGATCAATTGCATAAGGTGCTCAAGAAAGTTAATCTTAGTTAGCTAAAGATGAACACATAAGATTATGCAAGTCATATCACACTTGTGTGGAGACATTTCAATTTGGAATAAAAATCTGTCCACACAGATACATGCTAAGTGTTCCACTTTAAAAGCATATTCAAATTAGTTTTAGAGCTTGTCTACAAGAAGACAAACAAAATCAGTATCAACTCACAGGCCTTCTTCTTTTATTATTTCTAAAAGGACAGCCGGTGTTGTCTTTGACTTCCGCTTCTCATCAACTGGAAAGCAAAACAATCAAACTTTTAGATTATTCCAATTTTTAGCATCTTTTTCAAGTCCTTATCCTTGCAATTTTGAATATACCCTACAAGCACATGTTTCTTCTTCCTCATAAAGGATAGGAATACTCTATTTCTCCTTATTTTAATTTGCTAGGTAAGACTACTTCCTTTTTTTATTCTTCCTCAGACTGACAGGTTCTGTTGTGCTCCAGAGTATCTATAATCACAAATTCCTAACAGCTGCAACATGAACTGAAAGTAGGTTCCCCTTAGGTAGAGGGCTAGAATTGGGCCTGCCTAGCTGCTCTCAAAATTATTCCTTAGACAGCAGACTAGCACCAGTAGCAGAGCAATCTCCTAGAGCTCATCTGCAAACAGCTAAGCCTTAGCAAAGCAGTCTCCTCCTGCACTGAAAGCTATTCATTTCTCAACCACATACTTCTGACGACCTGGCTGATAATCTGCCTCCAGTTCTCAACAGAGCTTTTGTCATAGTTCTAAAATGCTGGCTGAGTCTGTGACTCTTGATTAGAGGACAGAGTTTTAGAACAACACAGTTTATGTCCCAGATGCATTTCTGTAAATATTGGATATTCCTAATCCCAATTCTAACCCTGACTTTTCTCTTTAAACCATCCTCTGGAATAATTCTAGACCTGTTTTTCATTATATTGCCCCTGCATTTTGAAGTGTTCTCAGCAGACAAAAACAACAATGCACAAATATAATCCTGTGCAATCTCACATCTTTGTTTTTGTCTTTGGTCTTATATAATCATTTAAAAGCCACAGAGCACACAGCCGTTTCAGCTAATTAAAATGTTGCCCAACTTTCAAAAGGAAGAATTACCTTCAGCTGGAAAAACAGAGTTACTGTGACACAAGTAAGACTCCAGTTCATGTAGAACATCCCCTCTACAACCACCCCTACAAATGCCCAGGCCAAGATGAACAGAAATGCCATTGTACAAAGAAACTAAATTTTGACACTTACCCTGAAGTCTAAGCCTAGCTGTATCCAAAGGAAAAAATACAGTCATTGCAGTCATACTGCCCTGAAAAACAAAATAAACTGGCTGTATAGTGTATCAGTTGCTTATACAGTGCCTGCTAGACTCTTTGTAACCCTTCACTTCTCACCCACAAATCAGTCTGCTGAGTAAGTTTAAAAAGGGGATAAACCCCACACGACACATTTTTTGTCCCATACTTAAAATGAGGGTTATTTTTCTCTTGCATTAGATCAAGCTAAAATAAAAAACATTAAAAGTTTTTTGCCAAAACAGAAAGTGTTTGAAGCCTGAAAGTTTATGGCAAAGTAGTGGCATCAAAAAATAAACACTGAACTTTCTCTACCTCCTATTAGCATCAAAAAGGCCCTGGCTTGGTGTAAACCTGTTTTCCATGCATCAGGTGGCTGCTGCAGCTGTGGCACCTCTTCTATCAGCAGCCGTGCAAACTGTTTAAATGGTGGGAAGGTCTGGGATACAGCAAGTCACTCAATGCTGCATTTAAACTACAGTGCACAGTGTGACTTGAGCTTTTCTACAGCTGTCTTATGCCATACATTTAAAGCTTTGCCTCTGGAAATACTCCAGCTCCTCAGCAGGCTGCTCAGACCCAGCTCAATAACCAGCCACAGAGGATTAACTTTCTGGTGGTGTTTGCACACTAAACAATTCTGGGTTGAAGCCTTAACCAGACCTAAGTTTCTCCAGTTTTTTAACACTAGGTAACATATGTAAGACTTGGCCTCAATTACCTGGTTATTTTAACCCATTTAGTTTGGGCTCTTGCCAAAACAGTTCATTCTGCTCTCCCATGTACTTGTCCTGTATTGTATTATTCTCACCTACCACGTACCCACCTGGACAGCAAGTGGATTAATGAACCCATTTGGCTGACTATTTCTCAAAAGTGTATCTCAGTTAGAAAGTTAGTGACAGCACAAAAGAAGTGCCAGAAAGAGCCATAAGGGTCCTCCAAATGGGAGTTGCATTACTGCAATTTTGAAGACAGCCTCAAAACGCAGTTACACCTACACACAGAACAAGACTGCACAGTCACTACAACTTCCAGCCTTCCCTGTTCCATCCTCCCAAAGTGAGATTTATCCTGGATCCCAGTCTCAATGCAATGCACCATGCAGCAGCAACACACACACACACTTGCACTCAAAATTAGAAAATGGAAACGAGGAAATAATTGGGTAGTGTCACACAGGACACAATGGATGTGTGGCCACACGACACAGAATAGTCTATTTCAGTCGGAAAGGATCTGCAATGATCACCCAGCCCTGATGTCCCCACCCCACGTTAAGTGCATTTCCCAAATGCCTCTTGAACACTGACAGGCATGGGGCACTGACCACCCCTCTCAGCAGCCTGTTCCAGTGCTTGACTGCCAAACTGGCTTAAAACTTACATAGAGCTACAGTTCAAGAGAATATCATGAGATAACTAAACTGACCTAACAAATCATTGCACATAAAAACTAGTTTGTACCCTCTCCCCTTATTTTGCTAAATTGAGGGAAATAGAAAAGCCAAAGTTACTTTTCTCCTGGGTTTACAAATGGAACAACTCAACTACATGATGAGGAGGCTGCCAGAAGCATCATACAGAAGAGACAGAATTTCATGGCTGGAAGAAATGACAAGAGAGATAAGCAGCACCAGTCCTTTCCCCAACAACAAAAGCCCTCAAGAGGGATTCAGATTCCTTGCTAAACTGCATTGAGACCAGCAGGTAAAATTACACTAGTGAGTGCAGAACAGATGCTGCACTCATGCAGATGTATTACCCTGCACTGCTGGAAGGGTGAGGCTCCACTGTCAGCCTTCCCACACCGCCCCGTCAGCCCTGGATCTCGGCAGTTTGCCAGGTCACATTAGCACTGAATAATCACAGGGACAGGTACAGACTGGTTCGTGTAATCCCAGGCTCTTGGTCAACTGTATTTGCACCCCTGCCTCCTCCAATCTGGCAGCACAATTTTCTGGGCACCTACACAATGATGCAGACACAGAAATGAATCTGGCTGAAAAACTACTTTTTCCACTGGGCTTCTTCTTCAGTCACAGCAGTTCACTGACCAGTCACAGCACCCGATAAATAACTGTGCAGTAGCCAAGAGGTGGCCAGAACAAATGGCCTGAGGTGACTGCTTCCAAAAGATGTGTGCAGGACCACAGCCTGAAGCTTTATAAATAATAGTAATTACAAAAAAATGTGAAACATATAAAAAAGTTTAACTGCTATTTTTCAGCCAATGAAGCAGCCTGACTGCTCTTTAATACTCCCATAAAATTCTCACCCCTACAGCTTTTGCAACAGGAAGATTATGTTGTAGCTACATGCAGAGTTAAAGAATACTTACGTAATTCAATTAAAGTTCACAGGAAATCAAGCACTGTTTTGTGCTGGGTTTTTTTTTCACTGTTCACAAAACTATTCCTTCATCCCAAATTTGACTAGGTTGCCTAGAAGGTATATCAGCTTTCAGCACATAGGAATACAAATAAAAGTTATCATGTTGTGGTCTGACATGTGCTTCTGGTGCCTTAGCTCAACACAGTTCTGAGTCTATGGCTGGATTTATAAGCTTGGTTCACATCACAAACTTTCCTCAGGGGCACAGCCTGACTACAGCAATCTGTATTTGAAGGGACAAGCTAACAGCAAGGTCTAGAAAGTATCACTGACTTCTGTAGAAGGCAGCAAAAGGAAAATGGGTAGTATTTCAATAATGGGATCATTTGAGAAAGCTCCACTTTTTGAAAGTGGAAACAAAAGCCCCACTGCCTTTGATGTTTAAGTAAGCAGACTTAAAACAATTTAAAGAGCAGACAAAAATCTTGTGTTTATTTATAATAAAACCAAAACTTCCCTTAAAGCCCTGTTTTTCCTTTTAGAATTAGCCTTTGTAACAGAATCACTGAATTGTCAGGGTTGGAAGGAGCCCCTGGAGATGACCCAGTCTAACACCCCCCCACCAAAGCAGTGTCACCCACAGCAGGTGACATAGGAATGCATCCAGGTGGGGTTTGAATGTCCCCAGACAGGGAGACTCCATGGCCTCCCTGGGCAGCCTGTTCCAGTGTTTATCGTTCAATGACATTTAGCAACTTTCATCCTACAGGAGACACGAGGCGTTCTTGCTATCCATCAGTATGCCCAATCCAACATGCTACATGCACTAAAATTCTTAATCTCTTGGAAGCAGAAGGCTGATTTACTATTTAGAGCTAGCACTCTGAAAGGAAAAATTCAAGGCTGGGCACACTAGGAAATCTACATAAACGAAATGTGATTTTTTTCATTTACAAGCGCCACATGAAAAATTAAATCCAGTAATGGACACAAACCTCCCCCGCTGCACTGGAGGAGGTTTATGCTTTGATCAGCACTATGCGCTGCCTCACCCTGCGCAGCCCCAAGCACTCAGGAGGCCGTGGCGGGAGGACGGTGCTGGTGCTGCTCTGGGCTTACAGCCGAGGCGCTGCCCCTCTGCCTGAGTTTACAATTTCACCGCTGCAGGGATGCCCAGCTCCGGCTGCGCCAGCCCGGCTTTCTGAGGGCCGGCTCCCTGCAGCTCCCGCTGGCCCAGAGGTGGCTCTGGCTGCTCCGGCCCGGCGCCTGCCCCCAGCCTGGCCAAGCCCCGCGCCGGTCCCGGCCCCGGGGAACCGGCGGGGGAGGCTGGCGTCCTTCACGGGGGTTTTCGGGAAAATACAGCACCGGGGTACCCCCGAAATGCGTTCTTGTTCCTTCCTCTGTAAGCCTTTTCTCTCCTCCAGCAGCCTCGCTTCTCTTCGAGAAGAGGCCGCCGAGAGGGGACCTCATCGGTGGCTGTCAGCACCCGAAGGGAGGGCGGTGAGAGGAGGGATGCAGGCTCCTCTCGGTGGTACCCGGACAAGGGGCAGAGGCTGATGCACAGGAAGTTCTACCTGAATATGAGGAAGAATTTCTTTACTATGAAGCGACCACGCACTGGAACAGATTGCCCAGAGAGGTTGTGGAATCTCCCTCAGTGGAGATGTCCGAGAACACTCTGGACACAATCCTGTGCCATATTTAATACAAATAGTGCCATTATTTCCTTTTTTTTTTCTTTTTTTTTTTTTTTTTTTTTTTTTTAGCAATTTCACTTGAGAGTCACAGAACAGTCTGAGTTGAAAAGGACCCAGAAGCCCCATCATGTGCTCCCTGTTCAAACAGGGAGGCTGGACCAGAAGACCCACTGTGGTCCCTTTTCCAACATTACTCATTTTGTGATTCTGTGATTTCCTTTCCCAAACATTTAACATAAGCATTTAATTACAACGCGGAAGCAATACTGAACTTCACATTCTAATTTTGCTTTTTGCTAACTACAGTCCTACTACCGACTACCTACCTACACTACTACTACCTACCTAAAGTTCGGTATCTTTTCAGTGACACTTTTTCAAGACAATAGTTTCTTCTTATTCCACGTGGACCAATCGAGTCTGATGCATTTTCAAACACCTGGAAAAAAGGAGCCTTGGGAGGATCATATTGGCACTCTACATGTTAAAGGACAATGTAGCAAGGTGGGGTTGGCCTCTTCTCCCAAAAAAGAAGCTACAGGAATGAACAGCTTCAAGTTCACCAGGGGAGGTTTATACTGGATATTAGGAAGAAATTCTTTAATGAAGGCATTAACCAGCACTAGAACAGGCTGTCCAGGGAAGTGGTTGAGTCACTACCCCCAGAGGTATTTACAAGACATGTAGATATTGCACTTGGGGATATGGTTTAGTCGTGGATGTGGCAGTGCTGGGTTTGTGGTTGGACTCAAACTAAGAAGTCTTTTCCAAACTAAACAATTCTATTATTCTATTTTGTTTACTCTTTTTCCTAGTCTGCAAGCCCTTGCTCCTCCTTTGCTATCACGCTGAGAGCCTGCAGCTGAAGCACAGTGCTACAAAGAGAACATCTCCTGTGGTAGCTGAGGGTGGAGTGAGAAGTCCCAGCAAGAAGCAGCAGACACAAGGAGCTGGCCAAAGCACAGGGGAGCTGTGGCTCACTGCAGTTAGGGCACAGAGACAAGGCTATCAGACACACAGTTTGGGAAAGTATCAATAATCCTACAGCCTCCTTTTACACTTACGTAGGAGAGGTTCCACGTGTAGGAAGGAGCTGAGGAAATTAAATGAGTTTGGACATGCCCCAGTTCATAAGAGCACTTGGGAGATGTCTATCATATCCTGCTAGATTTTTTGCCATTCTCATGTCTTATACTGGTTTCCAAATTGCTACAGGGTTTTGTCTGTGTTAACAATCACTCCCCTTTTGTTAGTTTCACCTATACTTCAGAAAAAGACTATCATTAAAGATGGGAATTAATATTCTCTTTAGCTTTGTATCATGTTACTCCTGGGCTCTTTGGTTTTTACTGTTACTCCATCGTATCTTTTTCTCTCTTTCTGAAAGAAAGAATAACTTCATAACTTTTTCTTCACAATTGCAATTCCTATTCCTTCAGCCTCAACTCCCCAGCTGCCTCTTGTTTGAAAGGCAAGAGCTCCTAGTGCTTACATCTGTGGTAGGAATGACCATACCATCCATTACTTAAACAAGGACAGGGCAGTTGTAACGTCACACTCTTCCCAAAAGCTTCTATCACACAATTGGGTAAGCCATTCTCTTTGGAGATGTTCCTTCATCAGGTGGCTGTTAACAGACTCCTTGTCTCTACCCTTCTGTGAGAAAAATCCCATTATTTTCTCTGAGGGAGAGCAGGTATAAAGAACACAGGCTACTCTACCTAATGCAAGTGTTTCAGTCAGAGAAAAATAATTTTCCAGTGCAGTGCCCCAGCACATCCCTGTATGCAGATTTTAGATGCTGATACCAGCAACCTAAGAGACCACAATTCTTTTATACAATGCTGATACCACTGATAGTCCCAAATTTTTTTTTTGTTATGTAATATCTGTATGGTGGATGCACCACTTCTGGCTTTTATACAATGCTGATACCACTGATAGTCCCAGATTTATTTTTTTTTTTTATGTAAGATCCCTGTGCTGGATGCACCACTTCTGACTGAGTGACATTACTTTGCTTCAGGCATCACCAAAAAGGAGACCTGACTGAAATCATCCCTGCAGTGCAAACCCTGAGAATCATCCTAAGCTGCATCTTATCCAGAAACAAAGAGTTCAGGCCTCTCTTATCAGGAGATCAGCACCAGCCTGGGCTGGGACCAGCCAGAACTGAAACTGCTACAGCTGCACACCTGCACACACACCAAAAAGGGCTC